AATTAATTTTTCACTCAGTGGTTCTGTAGTTGATATAAACATGTGACGATAACTGTTTCAAATCATACACATATCTTCAAAAACCATTTTAGTTAATAAATTTGAAAAACAAACAACTGTGAATTAAATTGAGGTTTGTATCTGAAATTATCCGATCGAAGTAACAGAATACGGTCTAATTAATGTAAGTGTCGAAGTAAGTTAAAAAAAATACTGAAATGATTAAAATAACTTATCAAACATCACATAGTTAGACTAGTATCACGTTGATAAAACATATCAATTAGCTAATAATTAGGTTAGCTTGCTGGTGACAGGAGGTAATTAATCGTTATTCCATCAATTAAGTGAACTAACTGTATAAATCTAAGCACCTACCAACCTAAAAAAGCAAAAACAATCCCTAGGTATCATGGCTAGTATAACATCATCCAGTTGTCTATTGCAATAGAACGTAAGAGTGCATCGATTATTGAATGAAACTGGTCAATTTTAATAGGTTAGTTGAAAGTATGTCCAACATATTGTTATAATAGTTAACTAGGTTCTTAAGATATATGAGAATATGTGATATGGAAGATTATTGACTATCTAATTTCCGATGTAAGGCATCATAGATTTATGAACAATACTGGGACATAACTGTATTTTTATTCATTATTTTATTAATTCACTTTTCTGATGTAGTAATTTGCGTCACCTTATTTTGATTCTTTCTACTCACACTTGGTAAATTCATCATCTAAAATGACTGATGATTCGAATATAATAGAAGTCTAGTTTAGATAAAGGAAACGATGCTATCATACATAAATAAGTATAATCGATATCCTTATAATAGTTCAAATATAATATTTTCTTGAAAAAAGAATCTTTGAAATTTATCGAGTGCAGAAAAGAGCTGAAAATAAAATTGGGTTAAATAATACAATCAAGACATTTGGTGACATTACATATTTGCATCATAACTCAAATCTTCAATATGTTAGGTCTAGGAGTGCAGATGTTTCATGTCATAGACTAATTAACAGACAGATACAATTTGTATAATTCTAGTCCATAGTATATGCATTATATTCACCAATTGGTAAGCGGAATATTGTGTTGACATTCTTTTGATGTTGTAAATTTATGAAAAACCGTTGTTCGGTAAAATAAGAATTTGCAATAATAATAAATTGGAAGCTGGTAATATCATGTTTTAATTGATTTTTCAATCATTATAAATTTCAACATAATGATATATCTCTAACTACTCAATAATCCTCCCAGTAAACCTTACACTTTATTGTTTAGTTTAATCATTTAAATTGTAGGTGAAGTCAATTATAGTGAAATACGCAGTTGATAGAAGTATTTCAGCAGAATAATCGTATTGTCAGGTAGTATTGGATTAATGTTTTATCTAGCTATGGGTAATTCTTAACAATAAATAACTGCCACATATTATAGTAACGAATCATTATCCTATTGTTTGTAAATAACACACAGTAATTAGTCGTAAAATTTCTATCGTTACCGATGCCTAGTTTTGCATAAAATAACTCTTTATTTTTCATTTTTATCTTCTCTACTGAGTCATAGTTACCCATATAGAGTTCTTCAAAATGAGAACTGTACTACAGATAGTCAGGGGATGACACTCGATCACAGATGCAGTTGTCATAGAGAAAGCAGTTTTAGTCTACTTATCAAATGATCCCAGTTTCACATTATATGTATTTATATTTACGATGGTAATTTAATGCCAAAGTATATCTTGATTCTTACATTATTATCAAGTGGTTAATTTGTAACTAATGCTACAATAGTTAGTATTTAAATGGTTGTTTGGGTCTCAGTGGTTATCTTACGTAATGTGCAATATTTAATAGTGGGTATGTGTTTAGATGAATGATTTTCATTGTTAATTACTTTTATACAAAGTAGTAATTAAAAGATTACATTTTCAGCGATTTGTTATTTATATCTTATTGTGAAATGTCATGATAGCAAAATGCTTTTTTTATGAAAGTCATATTTTTAGATACCTAAATGACCATCATGTAATGTATATTCATATATTTTGTATGCTGTACTTGAGGCGGCGTCCGATGATTTTAATTTTCATTACCATTACAATGATCATTTCAGTCAGTTGCATAGAGCATATTTCTGAATAAAATTCAGAGTGGCTTTAGAGTCAACATTAACTTGTTTAAGATCGTTATTAGTCTACAGTTGGGTAAATCTATGTAACTTGACATATTTTAATTTTATTTCCTGTATTGAATTTGTGTGTAATATAGTAAATGTAAAATTCATGCTTGATTTCATTATATCTAGATTAGGATATTCAAGCTTCATGTGGTTTTGCATAAAATAAACTAAAGTATATATATGTATATATATGGTATTAATCACCATTACAGTGAATATGGTAGGTAAATTAGACTGTAAGCTATGGTAATTAATCTAAAATTACACTGAACTGTAGTAACTAATCAAATATAATAAATAAACTATCAAACTACATACTCTTGATTACCGTCTCAGATAGATGCTGTATCTGAAATTAGAGAATTATAATGGTCAGTATTAAATCCAAGAGTAAATTTTGATGAATATCTAGACTTTAGAACACATTTCCCTGTATTCCTTTTAATCCAGTCAGCAATTCATATGATTTCTAACGGAATTATTTATCACCTGTAGTTATATGATGTGAAAGGATAATTTTATGACTTACCTACTTACATCTGTTACCCTTCATGCAAAATAGGCCACTGACCAGGAATCTTCAACGTACTATGGCTTGAGCTCTCGCTTCCAGTTGTTGCGAAGTACTATTCATTTTTTATGTCTGCCTCTTTTCCTATTGCCTTCAGGATTACAGGTTAGGGCTTGCTCCATGATGCAGCTTTGTGATTTTCACAATGTGCATCCTATCCACCTCCAGAGCCTTTCCCTAATTTCCTCTTAAAACAAAAGCTGATTTGTTAATAGCCACAGACGTTTGTTGCTGATGATTCCTGGGCACTCGATTTGAGGAATTACAGCTGGAACCCTTCTAGGATTACTGACAGTCACATGACCAGATAAAGGAGAATAGGTCGGCAACCCCATCCCATAGAAAAGAAGCATACTAAAAACGCTAACCAGATAAGTTGATAGATTTTATATTTCTAAATCTCTTGAATATTTCAATGCAGAGGTCATCTAGTTCCTTAGTAAACAAAAATATCAAGTATCATTGAAATATATTTAAATAAAATACTGATTATCTCCAAGTACATGTTGCAATGAGCATGTACATTTGGTAGTTATGCTAAATTTGACTATGTTTGATTGATTTATTAACGCCTAGTCATGTGGATAATCTTGAAAATATTTACTTATCAAACTGACTGACTATTTACTACTACATTTCAAAATTATATTCTAACTTCACGTTTGTATCAATTATGTTAATTTTATGAAAGCTAAATACAAAAAATATCAAGGAAGCTAGTTAGATAGGGTTTAATCGCCTGACAGTAGAAATGCACTCAAACAAAAAATCAACTAGTATCTTTTTATTAAAAAAAGGTTTACTTGTAAATATCCAGTTTGAAAAGAAATAATTTAACTTCATAATTCTTAAATACGGGAGTCAAGGTTTTATAAGTAAAGATGAATATACTTTATTATTAATAAACTTGACAGTCTCAAGGTTAGAAATAAACAATATTTCCCTTTTCATTAGTTTTCTTCACCAGTCGGTTAAAACAAACTAACAACGATGAGATTTCAATAGATAAATTTTGATCCAAATATTTGGAAAATATGTTGGTTTACGGATTATGGAAGATATTTGGTTAATGAGGACAGATTTATCGCCTTCCTAGTGAAAAACATTCGATAAATAATCTTTTTTCGAAACTTGATACCAGAAAACTCTCATTCTACTTACCGTTTACTAGTGACGACTGAATTCCTACTGTTGAACTTGATATATGGTCGGAAACATTATTCTGTAGGATGGACAAAATTTTCAATGAACATCAGTATACTTTCTAGTTTTAGTATATTTGTATATTCGTCTGATATAGCGAGAGGCTACTAGACCAAAGTCATGTTTAAAAAGCGAAACTGCTTAGAACGTACTTAGTTACGTTTCTAAATGAACAAAATAATTTATGTAGGATATTATTTTAATAGCTATCGTTTAAAATGTTTTTGATGTTTCCCTTGGTTACTAACGTTTATTTATCTCTAATCCTCTTATATGAGAAGATGAATCAGTTATAAAGGTTATTCAAGCGTTATTTGATGGATTTATAGTTTGATGTTTAATTCGATAGGGAATCATCTGATGAGAGTTCAGTACATATTTTCCTGAACGTTTAGCTATCAGAAGCACTTGACAACTAAAAAGTCAATACAATATTATCTAGAATACTCATTTCACATATTTTAATATAAAAAATAACATAACATACAATAATATAATGTGATGATGTGATAGAACCAAGTATATGTTTTCATAATTGTAGTACATTCAATTTTAAGTAGTGCTACGTTATTTTAGCACCAAATATGACATTTTCTAAAATTTTAATTTATTATGTGATAACAAATACCTCATAACTTAAAAACCTCTTCAAATTCAATTTAACACGGTTGGCGTTGCATGACCTAATTCAAAAAATATCTGTCAAACAACTGCTAAAAATAGTTTTTGTCGAGTAATTGATGAACTTTCATGATGAAAACAGATTATAGTTACCTGGTGATGATATATTCAGAAAAGATCGGTAGTAGAATTTGTAAGCTCAAAGGTCTCATAGTTCATCCAGTAGCATACTTGGTTAGTGTTAGGGTTCGATAATCGTACCACTGCTTATTTAAGCTCATTCGCTGTTTTAATTTTACAACAATGAATATTTAGAGAAACTGTATGAAGAAGACCTAAAAATTTTATTTCGATTTTTGCTTTTTCAATCTCTTATATTTATTAAGATAGAAAGCACAACGACGAGTGATTGAAAAAATTATATTTTGATCTATTTCAGATATCATCTTCATGTCTCTGAATGCAAGAACATAGAAAATGTCATCTACTTGATATTTACAAAATAGAGAAATGACTCTGAGAAAGATTATATTTCAAAAATGGCTTGATAAAACATAAAGATCAAATGTACAGATTCAAAGCCTTATTTCAGCCGTATTCTCTGAACTTCCAATGCACGTTTCGACTGTAGACGGTGGTAACATAATATTACTATGCTCATATGTAATACCTGACCACCAAATCGGTAAATTCGCTTTGACCAACTGAAGCATCGAAAATTGTTTAACAACACAAAATAGTCTTACATTCGAACGAACTAATTCAAATCGAAAGCCATCATAAACTGAAGAATTAATTAATGGATCACATAATCTTAATTTCCATGTTTGGAATACTTTCGTGTTTGAATTAAACTCATTTTTAATGATTTTATTTCTACCTGATTGTTTCAATGTATTATTCCCACTTCTTTCTGTTGAGGGTGTTTTCGCGAATTTCAAAAGGTTAGTATCATTTTGACATATTTTGTATCTATAATTCTGACTAATTTTCCTATTCCTAGGATTATTAACTTTATCATTACATTGATGATGATAGCATTGTAGGTGAAATAGTTCATTTGGTGGATTAAAGTAGATACTGAGAAATGATTCAGCTGACATATTGTATTGTAAATAGATCCGAAGTCGATTCAATATCATACCTCTGGTGTGATAAGTGTGTTGTTTAGTAAGACGTAAATATTTACTTACTGGTCCAAACAGCTTTTGAAATACATATTCACTTGATTTTTCTAACTGATTCACTGATGAGGAATCTAAAATTTGAATAAAAGGAATCGTGAAAGAAAAGATGTTTCATCATTATAACAAAGAAGAAATTGCAATATACATATATAGCGTATTAGTGCAATTCAGTTACTAGGTATGAGTTCATTTATTTGGTTTTCAGCCACATAGCTAATAATACAATACGGAATTCCATAATAAGGTAAGCGAAACGCAGTTCAAACAATGGGATGCTGGTCGAAAGTTCTAAAACACTCTCCTACGTTAAAATCAATCAAAGTATCCCAACTATTTAATGATATATATATATATATATATATATATATATCATTTCAGCTAAGTGAATCAACCTTTTGGTAAATCGTTTGTGTTTTATAAACGTTCGTAAAAAATCTGGGTAATCTAAACAAATACATTGAGTGGGCCTAGTGAAATTGCTCATTATCGATTTTTGAGTTGAATATATTATTAAGAGGCATTTAGTTATTTATGTCTAACAAAAATATAGTGTATGGAATATCTCACCAGTAAGAACGCTAAAATGTGGCTTGTGTCAACTGGAACCTATGCACACCCATAGAATGTCCAACGTTAGGTTGAACGTGACTTTTGACGGCTGCTAAAATATGCAGGCTTACTGCAATGACATGCATTGGTTCGTGGGTTTTTTAGTGGTTCTGACTGTTTCTATTGATCATATAAGTCTTAAGGATAAATGTAAATTTCACACCGAGATTACAAGATTTAAATAAAAAACAAGTTAACTTTTTTTATGATTAGGAGAAGTGATTTAATTAAAATAAACAAAGCACTTAATCATTGAGTTAATTTATCTCTAACATTTAAGTCATCTTTTTATCTCCTTGAAATTTTGTTGAACTTTTTTTGTTCAATTTATCTGATGTATTAATTACCTGCATTCATTTTCAAGACAGAAGAGACTGAACGTTTCCAAAGGGAGTTTAATTATTTTTAAAAGGTTTCCAAAGATTGATGAACAGCTATTGGATGTGTATAATGATAAATAGTTGGATAACCTTTTTGATATAGTTTTACAACCCAAAGAAATTATTTTAACAATCATCAGACGTGACCTATAATAAAGGACGGGGTTTACAATAGAATAACACTAATCAAAAGTATGCACTTTTAATCTCAATGGAAAAGAAACGCGAGAAAAAGAAGTCATCTGGTGGTTTCGGTAAGTTCTCAAATTATTTTCAGGGAGAGCGAAATGGACGTCCATTGTCGATATATGACATTCATCACATTTTGTGCATGAATTAGAGAGCGGGAATACGGACTCTCATGTTTTGATTTAGCAATTCATTTGTATCGTAGAAATCTTTACCTTTAAACTTCGATTATGTTATGTTGTTTGATTTTAGCACGAATGATATATAGAGATAAAAAATCCATTAACTGGGAGTTTAATCATTAAAAAATTGTTAGGCTAAATTAATTTAAGTGATTAAGATCATTGACAAAAAAATTCCTTCCAACTAATAAATTGATTCAGTTCACTATTCTTAGTTTTTAAATGTATATCATTCGCTGTGAAATTAGTATTTAGCACTGATGGGGAAAACTATGGTGAAAATGTAATTGAACAATGGAAACATGCTACTAGGTTCATTTACACTGAAGATGACTACTTGTCAACCAAACATACTTGAATGAACCTAATATATTTGTTGATCATAAAGTTTCAACGAAATGGTGCTCACTGTAAATAGCTTCAGGATGTTTTTGCTTATGCTGTTTGCTTGAAAGGACTGATTTTATTTGTGCATGTATAAAGTTCATGTTAATTGTAAATAAGTATAATTCGTCCAGTGTTCTTAAGTTCTCCGTATTCTCATAACTAAACACAACCACACTAAAATCACTTAATTAATTGCTTTACACTTTTAGGTATTTCGGAAGGTGTTACAACTCTGAAGCTCTGATTGATAATTAAGCTGTTCATAGAATGTCACAGCTATTTCATAATTCTATGTACTTCTATGAATAAAGTGTACATTGTATGTATCTATGTCAAATGTTACTTTAATTAATCAATGATCTCAACACTGTTTCCATTTTTTCTAACTTGCTATTATTCTTTTCCTGTGTTTCACAATTATTTTTTAGTTATTGTTAGCACTACACCCATGTTTCTCGTTTCGTGTTAATATCTGTCAAAAGGAAAATTAGTTCTCTTGATTCTGAATAATAAGTTTTAGTTTTTTCTGTAGCATTTAGATCATTACACAAAATTATTATGATATTTGATATTATCGGACAATTTATGATGTGATTTCCATATATTTTTATCAGATTACGACGCCTACTAAATAACAATAAATACTATTTTAAGCAGAGATGAATAGTGGCTAGTAGTATAATCCAAGATGAAAGTTTCGCCCCATTTTGGACTTATCAGATGGATTTACCTGCAATATCAAGGCAATTCTTTTACAATGAACATATGTCGAAAGAATCTAAGTGCTTGCAGTACTAAACAACAATGGGAAGATCCAAACAACTTTGCTGAAATGCTTTATTTATTCTTTAGTTGGACAATGGTAGTTTGTCACTGATTTAATTGTTCTATTTTGGTCTGTTTCCATATAATTAAAATCCTTTAGTTTCGCATTAATTGAAGCATAGATCATTGGTGTAAACGTTTCTAATTTGAGAGTAGTTAAAGCTTGCGTTACATCAAAAGCTATATTTTTGTCATAATACAATCTGCAAAACCAAATTGAAAACAGATAAGACGTTAAGTTTACTTTCCTATTAGTACATAACGATTATTCAAACACATTTTTATCTTCCGAAATCATTCGTAAAAACTGCTTTGTCTTAGTTAAATTGCAAGTATAGAGATTGTCATCAGAGAGATCAGAATGGAACTGTTAAAAATGTTATTTCACACTGTCTTTACACTTGAAGTATAAACACATATTTCAGTACAATATTCTAAGTGTAAACATCTTAAATAATGATGTGATTGCATGTAGAAATCGTTATTCTAAACCTCCAAATAATCCATCCACAGCTAATTAATAAAACTTTCAGTTTGAGGTGAAATACAAACTATCTGAATGCTTAAATGTATTTTTGTATTGGTTGTTTGTATCTTTTCACTGATGTTTACGACTGCAATAGTTCAGTCTCTTATTGGTATATGTTCATGTTGTGCGGATTGCTTCGATATTGCCTCAAATCAAAGCATTATAAGCAGAGTGACTTCTTGGACTCAATAGCTAAGTCGATAACGCGATGGCATTCGAAGAGAACGTCACTGAATTTGAGCCCCAGAGTGAACATCAACTCTGGGATGCAGGTATATTCATCTGACGTATCCCAAATAGGACGAAACGCGTGTCCTGGATTTCACTGCTAGCCACTATTCATCTCTACTTATCTGTATGTTTGTCGATTAGTAGCAGTTATTACCAAAACATCAAGTAATTTCTATTAAAATATCACCAAAACACCAAAAGGTTACAATAAATTATAATATTATCTTAAAGTTGGGACTTACCAACTGAATTCGCCGCAAAATCTGATTTACTATACACAGCATTGAATAAATTATTGATCAATGTAGTTAGTCGCATCTGACATTTTCGTTTATATTTTAGGTAACTAATCTCACTTTTTAGTCTTTTAGCAGCCTGGACATTTATTTCATAAATATCAGGCATTTTTAAAAAATCAAATGTTTCACAGGATTTTCGTGAATTTTCCTCTGCATATTCATCATCAACGTTTGATTCAGCACCATTCAAATCTGTTTTACTAATGGAATTATCTGTAAAACCAGAAATAGCAGTAGCAGAAACAGTACTATTTCTGTTATATCGAAAACGTAACGGATTATTATTATGTAATGCTTTAATAAATTGTGTAGAATGAGAGTAAGTTTTAGCTTGTGTCGAACTTGTTAGTTTCGGTTTGAGTATTTTCATTTCTTCATATTCACTTTTCGCCATATTTCGTAATTTGTTACAATTACTAGTATTGTTAATTGTATTTCGAATACAGTCAAAATATATGGATTGATTGTATCTGGAATTTCGATTCTGACGTACAATTAATGGATCATAAGGCTGTAAGGCAATAAATTAAAATATCCAGATTCAATATAAGTGACAAATTTTTATTAACAAATATTTCAATTTATCTGAAACAAGCTTGGCATGATGGCTGAGTGAAATTGTCGTGAAACCTAGGAAATACGTTTAGCAAACATTGATACACCTCAATAGAAGGTATCACTAGTTTTGAATAAATCATAGTACTTCTAGGTTAAAATTAGGGAGATTCAATACTGGGTTCAGATGTATTGTTAAAAGGCTAGGCAAGAAGTGAGTGACTCAGTAGAACAAAAACAATCACTATCTGGTTTTTGAGACTGAATCAAACTTCATAAATTACTAATATCAACAAAAATAATTAATAAGTTATTGAATCACATAGCTAAGCAATCAGAATTCAAACTTCACCAACAGGGCTTGTTGTTTGACACTGAGTACTAGGTCGCATCATACCTAAAACGAGTGCCTTGAATAAAAATATTCCTTTTATTTACAATTATGTATGACTACTTGCTAACTAAAAAGGTATCCGTTTTTGAATGTTAAATAGGTCGTGTTAATGAAAAATTAGTGTAAGCTATAATGTGTCTTATGAAACAATTACAGGTGTAGTTTAAAAACTATCTGAAAATTCGGGGTATACCGAAAACGTACCAACTGAATTAACTATTGAATTCGAAGCTTTTTAGTAGCAGTACATGAACAAAAATCTGAGGAAAAGAAACGCAAAAGTCATATTACACTAGATGTAGGGGAATAAAACACTTATGGTGTGGTGACACAATTCGAACTTGGCTTAATTCTTTCAAAACTAGAGTTTACAAAATAATAAATTAGTAAGACAACAAATAATAATTTGTAATCCACTACTTTAGAAGAAAGTAAATAAAAAAATATTTGTGAATCTCATTCAATAATAAGTAAGAATTGGCTTAACTGCCTAATCCCGCAGTCGAATGACTGGAACTATTCATTGAAGTCATCTAGACGCTATTTAACTGATGAAACATAACATCTACTATAAAATGTAACTTTGTGATATAAACTAGAGTTCTTTAACTTTTCTAAATATTTTTTCGAAAACAAAACATGCAGTCCTTTGGCTAGGAAGTAATTATTTTAATAGAAGTATAGTTGACAGAGATGAATTTTTCGTTATCTGTATTTCTGTAATTAAAAAGTTCAGTCAGGGAAGTTGATTTTTAATTGGTTCAAAAGTTGAACAAAATAGTGACAAAAGGCTTTTGACTTTGAGATATTGAATATGACGTCTGAAATCTAGCACGTACTTACTATCAGGTGACTCGTGAAAATAAATTTATTAGCACGATATTTCGTCATTATTACTTTCCTGATCAGTTACTTATCATTATTTTAATAAACCACTGTTTATAAAATTAAAATACTGAAGACTACTGAAGCTACTCAGTTTAAAGCTTCCAAATTAAATCCCGTGAACTCTTTTATTTTTGTTTAAAGTTTGCATAGTATATATCTGGAAAAAAATGCGTACTTATTATCAATCGGAAGTTACACTCATGTTCATTTAATTGCTAAACAGCAGTGAATCGAGTCCTCATTACGTAAATGTTATATATGTAGATAAAAAGATGAAACTCAATTTCGAAATTTTACTAAGATTGCTTTTCAATTTAACCACAGAATGTTGGTTTTTACAATGAATTATCTACAAGCCTATAGGTGTTTTGATTGATATAAATTCGTTCTATTTTATTATTAATTTTATCAACTCTTATGTAACAGTTAACATTTTCACAGATTAAAATTATAAGTTTGTCTGACTAATTAGAAATTTTCAGGTCCTAATAATATTTATTTTAAATAAGAGAAGATAAATATATTTATGTCAGTGAGGAAAAATATCCTTAATGAAATCTTCATATAACATGTATAAACGGATTACCTTGGCAACGTAACTGCACGAAATTTAAAAAGAAAATTGTCTAAATATATACTTGAACATAACAACAAAAGGTTCATAAGTAATTATATCAAATATTGAAATGATCAATTACTGAATTGAAATATTATATGTAAATAATGTGTAACTAAAAATTCAGATTTGTAAAATGATGTCTGGTATTATTTCAGGCATTTGAATTGAAGTATCTATCTGATTATTTTACTCAGAGCAAAAAAGTAGAACTGTGATAATTCAATCTAAAAGTGTTCAGTTTATGGTATACAATGAAATTAATATGTAAATTGAAATAAGTCCATTAAATTTAATCAATCATAAAATGACTCAAATCTATATATTTGATAATTATAAGTAATATAAAATACATTAGTATTAATAAACAATTATAGTTTAGAACAAAACTATTAACAAAATAAGAAAAATGTCTGTAATTTCTGTGATAATCTAATTTTTTATTATTATCTCTAGATGGGAAATCCAAAACAAAACGGTACAATTTATCAACATTTTCGATGATTACTCATCATTTCCTAAGAAAAAACCAATAAATTATAGCTTTGTACATTTCACTGAATCAGCTTTTGAATTATATAAGTTGGGATTATAAGAAAATAACCTTTCTAATGTACGCAGCACTTAGATGAATTAAGTTTTATTTCTCTGTCTGAGTCACAGTTATTTAGAACAATCTAATTGATTTGTGTTTTTTCATAATATTGGGTTTCCTCTGCTTAATTTAGAAATTATCTTACTCAGTTTAAGCGATTCAAGTTACAGTATATCAATGTTAGATGAATTAATTTTTGATAAAAAATATTATACCAACGGGATGTAGAATAGGTGCGAATTTATTACTATTTTCATTGAATTTCATACAAATCACTGAGGAATAGTCTATTTTAACGTTACATAGTATGTATTTATGAATATATTCATGGTTATTCAGAAGGCAGATAATGGTACTGAACAATGATTATTTTGTTTTACCCCACAACTTTCCTGTAAAGCTTCTTCAAGTTGAATAAAATAACGAACTTTGATTTACATTTTCATTAGATAATAATCCAAAATCGGTATAATATTTTCTACTTGTTTAGAAGTCTTAATCCATCATATGTACGAATTTATAGTTTTGATATGAATCACAGAAATTTGACTAATTTGGTCAGAAATAGGTTGTCTGATAAAAATGAATATCTTGGGCTCTATTTTATGTTTGTTTATAAACTGTTAGAGTGAAGTTGCAATTATTCCTCAGATGATTTTCATTAGCAATAAGAAAGACATTGAAATAATTAAACGTAGCACGCTCCACTTTTCATTACGTTGTTGAAACTAATCAAAGGATAAACCTTACTCACTTGTTTGAATTCATTCATTTGGAGTAGATGCGTATTTAAGGTAATGTTAAACTACTGTGAAACTAACGAACTGCAATTTTTTGAACATAAATCCAAGAGATTTGAGTTTGAATATCCATCGACATCGAGATTTTGTGCGGGGTAGAGAGTCCATACTTATATTAATGTATTTACTATTCAAGTAATAGTAACTAGGATAAAGCATAAGGATGACGCGAATAGAACTCAGCATCGAATTTCATTTTAATATAATCTAGCTTAGTTATATACTGACTATATTTTACAGTTAAATAAAAATTTGAATAATAACGACCAATTAGAATTATTCCTAATTCGTTTAGCTATTCTATTATAAATAACTTGATTATATTGCAACAGTAATATTTGCCAGATCTTATCAAACTGAACAGTAAATATGGAAATAACGCGAACGTCATACGAAATAGTAATAAGTAACTACATACAAAGAGAGAAATAAAAGGTTGACTAGACATATATTTTAGACGCTTTGTTAATTGATTAGTAATCAATAAAGTTTCTAGTTGTTAATGTCACTAATTTAACTAGGTGAAATAACGTCATCAACTGGTTTGTGGAAATTTATACTATTTTACTTGACTCTTTTACACCGCTTCCATAAACGAAAACTCAGCTATTGGTGACCACACCTGATTTCTGACACTGAAATATATTATTTAGAATAAGTTGTTCTAAACTTAAAATTTTAGAAATTAAACCTTTTATACTATTTTATAATTTGACGTTCCTTTGGGTAAAGTTTAAAATGATCACAGGACACACCCTGTAATCTATTTTCGTTGAACGAAAAATAACTGTCATTGTACTAATATATAAATATAAATATTTTCTATTCATCACCGATTATGGCCTCATTATTCTGTTATGATGCACTAGGTATGTATTATTAACTGCATGGACAAAATATACTACTATGTATGTGTATTTTTCCATAGTCCCTATCAGTACGTCAAAACGTTTTGTTGATTTACAGTTAACTCAGATTCATAAAATTAATCGATTTGGAATGAAAAAGTATTACATATTTTATGACAACGTTTCTCAACCATCAGTGTATATAGATAGACATTGAGATAAATGATAGAGAACACAATGGACGAAAAGTTGTAGACAAATGTGTATATTTATTTATTCATTTTCAGCATTCTCGTAAACCCATTATTGATTTCCTGGATTATTTGTCCCTCGTTTGGATATTTTTAACCAGAATACTAAATGGAAAATAAAAGGAAGTCGGTTTATTGGTAAAATTTAAGTGAGTAGAATCCATTAGAACATCTGAAAATAATATATATGAATTCTTAGGGTTCATTATCTTGTTATACGTTAAAACCGAGAAAATGTTTATCATGTAAACAAACATTTACGTTTTAATGAGTCTTAAACGACATATGAATTATTTCATGATTGAAATTATTTGTATTCTGAATAACTCAGTTAAAATTTAAGTCACTTGTGAGTACCTTAGAAAATCGTCAAAAATGTTGCATAAAGTCTATTATAAAGAAAACTGAATGTTCAGAGTACATGTAATGACTATCTTGAATATACTGGAAACGAGGATCAGTATGAAAATGGAAAATTATTTGTTGCTGTTACCTATTTTTATTAATAAAGCTGTAAGAAGCTCTTGAAATATGACCAGTTATTGCGTTTAAAATTGGTATTATAT